TCCGAAGAAGTGGGTTGTAGCCCACGAAAGCTTATGCTCTAATAAATTTGTTAGTCTCTAAGGTGCCACAAGTACTCCTGTATTTTTTAAGTGTAGACCAAGCCCTAGTTAAAGAGATTGGGTCTTGTAACCAGATGTCAGGACTCTGTGTATCCCCCATTTTCCCCTTTTGTGCTTTCCAATTTTCATCCAACAACATTACAATTCTGCCCACTGAGGCCTAGAACATTCCCTGAAGTTTTGGACTGAATTAGATGTGGTGTTCAAACATTACTGCATTGCATGCAGAGAGGTGGACCAACAGACAGACAAGCCGAGAAATTCCATTATATCGAGTCTTTGTGCATCAAAGCATTGTGAGGTCCTCGGATACTGCAGTGATGAGGGTTATATAGGTACCTAATGCAGACAGACGGACAGACAGATTGATAGATCAATCCCACAGATGGCTTTGAAAATCTCACCCATACTGTGTAGGGATATTAGTCTGAGCAACCAAACACCAATCTAAGGATATAAACATCTCCTTAGAGAGATCTTCCTTTGGATGGAGAAGCTCCAATGCCAAGCTATGTGCAGATCCTAGGACATTTCTTTCCCCTAGCCTTTGGCATGACAGGGCACACTTACTGTTCAGACCTTAGGTGACTTATCTATTCCAGGCTGAGAAGAGCAAAATGGTGGACAAGAAGCTGATCTCCACTCCCAGCTCAGCCCAGCACAAAAGAGATGGTTTTTTTTCCTCTCTTTTTTTGAGAAAAATCTTTTCTTTGAGGAAAACAGACATTTTTATTTTATTTTACCCAAAATCCCAATTTTCCTTTGGGTGGGTCCAAGTGTGGGTGGGTAGCCCAAGCCCCCACCACTGCTGCAACAACCACATTGCTAGTTTTAGCGTGCTAGCTCAAGCCCTGGTAGCACAAGTCTTTCTCCACAGGTTGGGAGGCTGGCTTCCAGCTGCAGTGCAGACATACCCAAAAGACCTTCAAGGCAGGGCTTGTCTCTTTCTATGTTTGAATAGGACCTGGCACAAATGGTCCTGATCCTGTCCAGATCCTGTGAGGCACTAATGATAAACAATAATTATGATGATATTAATAAATAATAAAGGATTTCTGCAGAAGAATCCAGTTTATCAGAAACCCAGTTATCTGTCAAACACAAAAAAATCTAGCAACCCTAGTAGATGTACACTGAAAAAGTAAGAGCAGACATAACACTTGTATGGGGATAAATAGATAGAGGAGTATGTATGGGACTAAATAGATGAGTAGCTAGGGGAACAGGTAGGTAGGTGTGGGGCCAGATAGATGAGTAGCTAGGTGAACAGGTAGGTAGATATGCATGGGGCTAGATAGATGAGTTGATAGGGGAACAGTTAGGTAGGTAGGTATACATGGGGCTAGACAAGTGAGGAGGAATGGGGATAGGAAGAGGGATAGATTAGCATGTATGCGTAGGAGAGAGAGTGACACGCTGTTCCCCAGGAGGTCTGTTCTCTCTGAGTGTTTACAACAGTCCCCCACTGCAAACTCTTCCCATCAGTGCTCCATTGATCTTAGTGGGGTACATGGAACCGCAGGGACCCTCTGACATGGAATCAGCTGCTGAGATTGGAGCTTTAGACCTTACCCTTTTCAGACAGGGCCTTTTAATTTTACTTGTATTCAAGAACCAGCACAATGGGACCCCAAACCTCACCGGGACATCTAAGAACCACTTCTATTGTGTCTGGGCTCAGCTGAACCTTTACCATAAGCTTTGAGGAATCCACCTCCTGTTTTCCCCTGTGTGCATCCCACTGCAGGGCAGGAGACCAATTACAAAGGAAGAAAGTTGCAGCACTAGAAAACATAGTGCTAGTTACATTGTGTGCAAAGGTTGGGATTTTCCACTGAGCTTAAGGCAGTTAGTCATCCAACTCTCTTTGGTACCCAATGGGCTTTCGGCTCCTAACTCCATTGAGTAACTTGGAAAATCCCATTGTTTTAGGGTACGTCTTCACTACCCGCCGTATCGGCGGGTAGCAATCGATTTATCCGGGATCGATATATCGCGTCTCATTAAGACGCGATATATCGATCCCCGAATGCGCTCACTGTCGACTCCGGAACTCCACCAGAGCGAGCAGCGGTAGCGCAGTCGACGGGGGAGCCGCGGCCGTCAATCCCGCGCCGTGTGGACCCCAGGTAATTCGATCCAAGATACTTCGACTTCAGCTACGTTATTTGCGTAGCTGAAGTTGCGTATCTTGGATCGATCCCCCACCCCAGTGTAGACCAGCCCATAGTTATGGGGCTGGCTGCCTCTCAGGTCTTTCTAACCTGCCTCAGGGTGGAATCTCAGAGTTCTCACCCTCTGAAGTTCCATCAGCCAGGGATGTGACTGGCAGCTCGTGTAGACATATCAGCTCTAGCTGTGCTCCAGCTCATGCACTAAAAGTACAAGCAAGGACAGGATAGCATAGGCTGCACAAGTCCACCTGACCTCCTGCCCCAGATATGTATTCCATTGTGCAGCCTTCTCTGAAACCACTGCGATGGAATCCTCACTTCTACTTTTATTGAGCTAACTAGAGCACAAGTAGTGAAGCACACACCCGGCAGCAGTGTAGACATACCCATGGCACTTGAGTTTCCTCCCTCTGGGAACCTGTGACTAGTAGCTTCCTTAAAATAGAGTATATTTGTTTAGCAGTTAGAACAAAGTGTTAGATTAGAAAGGATTTGAAAACAGAAAGCAACCTGTATGCATGTCTGTTTTACCTGAAATCATGCCATGCTGTAATTGCAAGCCTAGCTGCTTTAGACAGCCCTGCTGTTCCCCTTCAGTGCCCCTTTCCAAAAGACTGTCCTTTCAAACCCTGGAGGCTTCTTCAAGTCTTGTTAGGCTTTGGTCGCTCCTAAGCAAACCAGCTCTGTAGACTGTCTGGGACCAACCCAGAGTCAACAGAGCCCATAGTTCGGGCATTTTACCTTAACCACCCTTAAGGGGAAGCTGATGAGGGAATCATCTTGAGCCATCTTCCTGCCTGGACCATTGCAGACCATCCCTCACTGGGAAGCACTGAATCAAAAATATTTGCACAGAAAACACCATTGCGAAGCCAGCACAGCATAGTTGCACCTGGCTTGGATTCTCCTGCCACTCCTGTACCTTGTTCAATAGGGCATGTTCCTGCCAGTGGGTGGTAAATTCACAGGGCAAAAAACTTAGCCCCGTTAAAGCCAATGGCACTGACTTCAATGAGATCAGGGTTTCATCCACTGATTTTAGAGGAATCAACAGGGCCGGCTCTGGCTTTTTTGCCGCCCTAGGCAAAAAAGCCTCCGGCCGCTCCCCCCCTCCCCCCTGCGGCCGGGGCGAGGGGGGAGGGCGAGCCCAGCTGTGGCCCCGCGCTCCCCGGCGGCCGGAGCGCCGCGCCGCCCCCCTCCAGGTGCTGCCCCAAGCACCAGCTTGGGTGCCTGGTGCCGGCCCTGGGAATCAAAGACCAGCATGACCTAGCCCCCTGCATAGAACAAGCCAGAGAATTCCGCCAAGTCACTCCTGTCTCAAGACCATGACATCTATTTGCACAATTCATAGGTGTTAGGAGACATTTGATCCTATATTTTACTTACAGCTAGGTTGGCATTTCTTGATATTTAAGCAAAAGCCTTCCATTTAGACAAGTACACCGCAGGCTAAAAGCTTGTGGAAGTAGACAATGGTTTGAACGGATGGATTATTTACAGACTAGTAGTTGAAATCCTAAGCTCTCATGAAGTCCTATGTGTAAAAAAAGCTGAAAATGTCTAAGAACTTAAAAATGGGATGAGACCAGACCATGAATACCAGTGAGGGCTGAACGTGGTGATATTCCAAACAAAAAGAGCTCTCTACCAATCTTGTGGCTGTTTCCATCCGTTCACACTGACTCAATAGACATTCTAGGCTTCTGAGTGACAATCCTGGAATCTGATAATATAGATGAGAAGGAAGATACTATGTTTGGGTTGTGTGTGTTTGTTTTGCTTGTTGACTTTTTTCCAGAACTGATATCTGAAAATGACTTGATAGAACAACCTGAAGAAAAGCTCTGTGTAGCTTAAAAGCTTGTTCCTTCCACCAACATAAGTTGGCCCAATAAAAAGGTATTTCCTCACCTATCTGATAATGAATGCATGTAAATTCACAGACGGTCATGGGTACATTGAAAGAAAGACAACAAATTAGATACTTTATTTTTTTTTCATTTTTATGGAAATTGGACAGAATTGTAAAATGCTACATACACAGACACTATGGACATCCATCAGGTCAATTACCTTTTCACCTAGTTATATATATTCAGCATCCTCAGCCTTGGCATAGATCTTGTCCTGTGCAATTTGGTCAGATTTAGAATCATAGAATATAAGGGTTGGAAGAGACCTCAGGAGGTCATCTAGTCCACCCCCCTGCTCAAAGCGGGACCAATCCCCAACTAAATCATCTGAGCCAGGGCTTCATCAAGCCTGACTTAAAAACCTCTAAGGAAAGAGATCCCACCACCTCCCTAGGTAACCCATTCCAGTGCTTCACCACTCTCCTAGTGAAAAAATTTGTTCCTAATATCCAACCTAAACCTCCCCCACTGCAACTTGAGACCATTACTCCTTGTTCTGTCGTCTGCTACAACTGAGAACAGCCTAGATCCATTCGGATTCTCCACTTTGGGGGAGACAGTGGGACATGAGTTGTATTCCAAGAAGCCTGCACCCCAGAGACTCTCAAGGCCTCACATGCCAGACACAGGCACTAAAGTTGAAGGAGCTGCCTCAGAACTCACTATATGCTCACAGTCTCCTATGATGCATCACGTGGTTTAAGTATGGAATCATCAACATGCAGCCCCCATCAGAGCATTTAAAACAGATTGATTAATCCTCATCTTATTATATGCATCCAAATTCTGGTGATCACCACGGACCAGATAACCAGCTGGAGTAAATCAGCACAGTTTCATTGACTACAGTTTACACCTGCTGTGAACTAGATCCAGCGAACTTACTAAGAACTTTTCTCAGGGCCATATTTACATGCTTATTTCTCAGGCTGTAAATGAGGGGGTTGAGCAGAGGAGTCAGGACAGTGTAGAAGACAGAGAACACTTTATTTAGGTCTCTCAGTGTGTTGTTTTTTGGTAGCATGTAGACAATGACTAAGGTTCCATAGAAAACGGTCACCACGATGAGGTGGGATGAGCAGGTGGAAAAGGCCTTTTGCCTCCCAGTGGTGGAAGGGATTCTCAGGATGCTGGTGATGATATATATGTAGGATGCCACCGTTAGTAGAAAAGGGGGAAATGTATCAAAGAAGGAAAGGAATAAACTTACCATTGAAATCAGTTGCGTGTCACTGCAGGACAGTTTAAGAAGTGGAATGAAATCACAAAAGAAATGGTCTATTTCATTGGGGCCACAGAACGTTAACTGCAACATCAAAAATATAATTATGGTAATAGCCAGAAAGCCACTTACCCAAGATCCAGCTGCTAGCTGGAGACAGAACCTGCCATTCATAAGGGCTGAATAGTGCAGGGGTTTGCATATCGCTAAATACCGATCATAAGACATCGCTGCCAGGAGAAAACATTCAGTCACCACTAGGAAACCAAAAGAATAAAGCTGTATGATACAACCACTAAATGAGATGGTCCTGTCCCCAGTCAGGAGACTGGCCAGCATCCTGGGCAGGATGGTGGAGGTGTAGCAGGTCTCCAAGCAGGACAAGTTCCCCAGGAAGAAGTACATGGGGGTGTGAAGGTGCTGATCAGCCACAACTAGCGCAACAATGAGGATGTTCCCAGCCATAGTAACAATGTAGATCACTAGGAACAGCAGGAAGAGAAGAATCTGCAATCCATGAAGATTCCTGAAATCCAGGAGATTGAATTCTGTGATCAACGTTTGATTTTCACATTTTCTTTTCTCCATGCAATATAGCTACTTTAAGAAGAAATTATGAAAAATAATTAGAACATAAAGCATGAATAAACCAGAATAAATATTCAAGCAATTAGCTTTAAAAATCCAAAAAGCAAACTAAGATGAGGATTTATATTTTCTTACAGAGTCAAGTAATTAATATGTTGCAAACTTGTAAGAAACAAGAAATATAGCAATTTTCACACCCAACCAACCCACTCTTACATCCAGTCTTGTACCCTATGTTTGACAGTAGCCACGAGCAATTGCTGGAAATCAGTGTGTAAGATCACCAAATGGACAATTGTGCTGTAACATACATATATGGAACGTTTCTCTCTAACCCCAAGCCTGTTACTTGTTGGCCTCTCTCCTGAAGTATGAGAGCTTTGTAAATTTTCCATCTTAGCTACTGTAACTGTGGGCATCCTTTTTATCCACATGGATGGATAACCCCTTGTTTGCATGCTACTAATTTCTTCGTGTCAAAGGTGTGATAGCTCACATAGACCAACCTCTGCTATTTCTGCTCCAGCTAATGCCGACTGGTGTCTGCTCATCATAGGTGCTGGAACTAGGGGTGCGGGGGGTGCTGCAGCACCCCCTGGCTTGAAGGGGTTTCCATTATATACAGGGTTTACAGCTTGGTTCAATGGCTCTCAGCACCCCCACTATACAAATTGTTCCAGCACCCCTGCTGCTCAGGCTAGCTCCCAGGCACAATCCCACCTAACCCCATGGATACATACTCATGTGGTTAGCCCAAACCCCTGCCTGTGCCACCAGTGTTTTTTTTTAGGCAATTTGTTGACACAGTCAGTGAATTCCCATGGACTACTTTATTTAGAAGAAGTGAATACATTTTTAAAAGCCCTTCCAAAACCATAGATTTTTAAAGGAACTCTTGGCTAGGCAATCAAAACTGGGGCCAGATTTTCAACAGGGCTCAGTAGCTTCCTCACTGAAAACGGGAGATCCAAAAGGACTTTGAAATTTGCAGCTGTTTTCACTCCACCCCTAAAGAAAGCAATGTTCCCTTTTTAAGCAGCTCTGATACATGCACTTTGCCGCCCAAGTGCTCCTAGCAGCCATTCCTTGTTCTGTGCCCTCTGCCCATCCACGGGGGTAGTGAACTGTGCCTTGTATCTGTCCAGTGCTCCCTGGACACTGGCTGCTCTTCTGTCCTGTTCTCCCACCAGGCTCCTTATTCTCCAGGGCCCTGCACAGATGTCTGCGGGGTGAAGAAGGAAACGCCCCAGCAAACCACCCAGGCTGAACTAGGCTCCCATCGCTCAGTCATTCCTTTCAGGGCCTGGGGAAGCAGCAGGAGCTGGTGGAGAGGGAGGGAGGGGGCAGGAGGGGGCTCCAGGTTCATGTTGCTTTGCTCTGCCACATCCATGCAGTGGGGGAGGGTCTGTTCCTTACATTCTCCCTAGCTCAGGGAAAGCTCTGTGCATCTTAGCTGCCTCTCTGCTCCCCTCCCACGCTCCTGCAGGGGTGAAGGGAAGAGGAGAGACCCTGCCCTACGGCACTGAGAACCAGAGTCACTGACGTCCTGTCCCACTGGTTGGGGAGCAAATGGTTTGCAATCTACCCCCAGGATGATCAGTGTCACAGGAAAGAGGGCAAACCTGAATCTGACAGGAGCCCTGCACAAAGAAAATATCCCCATCAGATACACGCACAGCTCACTCATAGACTTAAGGGTCAGAAGGGTCCATGATGATAATGTAGTTTGACCTCCTGAACACTGCAGGACACAGAACCTCACCCACCCACTCCAGTAACAGACCCATAACCTCTGGCTGAGTTACTGACATCCTCAAATCATGATTTACAGACTTCAAGTTACAGAGAATCCACCATTTACACTAGTTCAAACCTGCAAGTGCCCCATGCTTCAGAGAAGGTGAACCCCCCCCCCCCCCCAAGGTCTCTGCCAATCTGAACCAGGGGAAAATTCCTTCCTGGCCCCTCTCAGCTCCCCACAGACTGACCAGGAAAACCCTGAGTATCCTTCTGCCTCCAGTTGCACCCTGCAGCCCATCTGATAGGGGACTGGAACTGCAAGCCAAGTCTCTGCTGTGTCCCTGCTGCTATGGAGTAGCCATAACTCACTGCTCCCAGCCCCTCTCTACAGCCTTGCAGTGCAGCAATATCAGGAGGTGCTCTAAGACATATCAAGAGGAGAATCGGCAGTGAGACAGAGCAGGAACTGTGCTGTTAATGTGCGTGCTATAGTGACAGAGGAGGCTGCTCTTTCCTGATCTGCATGGATTTTCCATGCACCATGAATGCCTCTTAAAATGTACTGAAAGCCCCCATCTCCCACTGTAGGGGATAGCAAAAATGAAATGTCTCTATTTAGCTAAGCAATAACCCCAACAGTAAAAAAAAAAGCACAGATCCTGAAGTCCAGACTCTGGCAAAGCTCCCATTGATCCTGCTCAGTGCGAGTTTTACTGGAGAAAACACTGAGCAAATGAGTCAGAACATCAGGATTTGCCTGAAGGATTGCAGCACTTACTTTTAATCCTGACCGTGAAGTGGCAACCGCTCCTCAGAAGTGGATTGGGCTTGGGGAGATGGAGCTGGTTTTCACTGTCTCTCTGCTTTCCTCGGTCCCTTCACAGGGTCTGCCTCCGTCTGCCGAGATGTCTCCATGCACCTAGAGGGACACCTGGTTTCTGCTGCTCTGCTTGACTGCATGCATTATACCAAGGCATATTGCCTCCTAACCCAGCCTGCCTTGAGACAGCTGATTTTAATGATCACTTTTAAGTGATGGTGATTTGGGGAATTAGTTATATGTGCCTGTTAAATCAGTGTAATGCAGTGGGCGTTCCATTCTCCCTTTTCACCACCCCCCCCCCCCGGGGAATGAAAAGTAAACAGGTAGTTAGGCACTTAATTACCCCTAATTTGTGGGGGAATTAAGTGCCTAAATATCTTTAAAAACCTGGCAGTGGGTTAGAGAATCTTCCTATGGAGCTAGGAGGACTAAGGGATGAGCATTTAAGAGAAATCTGTGATTGGTCATTTCTGGGCTAGGTTATAGTAACATTACTGCAAAAAGCCAATTCATTTGAATTTAATTAGGGCTTTCAAACGATTAAAAAAATTAATCATGCTTAATCGCATGATTAAAAAAATTAATCACGCAATTAAAAAAATTAATCGCAATTAATCATGCAATTAATCGTACTGTTAAACAATAATAGAATACCATTTATTTCAATATTTGTGGATGGTTTCTACATTTCCAAATATACTGATTTCAATTACAACACAGAATACAAACTGTACAGTGCTCACTTTATATTTATTTTTATTACAAATATTTGCACTGTAAAAACCCAAAAGAAATAGTATTTTTCAATTCACCTAATACAAGTACCGTAGTGCAATGTCTTTTTCATGAAAGTTGAACTTACAAATGTAGAATTATGTACAAAAAAACCTGCATTCAAAAATAAAACAATGTAAAACTTTAGAGTCTACAAGTCCTCTGAGTCCTATTTCTTGTTCAGCCAATCGCTCAGACAAGGAAGTTTATTTACATTTGCAGGAGATAATGCTGCCCACTTCTTGTTCATAATATCACCTGAAAGTGAGAACAGGCATTCCCATGGCACTATTGAATGTGGTGTTGCAAGATATTTACATGCCAGATGCGCTAAAGATTCATATGTGCCTTCATGCTTCAACCACCATTCCAAAGGACATGCACCCATGCTGATTCTGCTTGATAAAAATCCAAACAGTGCAGATCGACACATGTTCGTTTTCATCATCTGCGTCAGATGCCAACAGTAGAATGTTGATTTTCTTTTTTTGGTGGTTCGGGTTCTGTAATTTCCGCATCAGAGTGTTACTCTTTTAAGACTTCAAAAAAGCATGCTCCACACTATGTCCCTCTCAGATTTTGGAAGGCACTTCAGATTCTTGAACCTTGGGTTCAGTGCTGTAGCTATCTTTAGAAATCTCACATTGGTACCATATTTGCATTTTATCAAATTGCAGTGAAACAAACAACATGTGCTGAGTCATCATCCAAGACTACTATAACATGAAATATATGTTAGAATGAGGATAAAATAGAGCTGGAGACATACAATTCTCCCCCAAGGAATTCAGTCACAAATTTAATTAACATATTATTTTTTTAACGAGTGTCATCAGCATGGAAGCATGTCCTCTGGAATGGTGGTTGAAGCATGAAGGGACATATGAATGTTTAGCATATTTGGCATGTAAATACTGTGCAATGACGGCTACAAAAGTCCCATGTGAATGCTTGTTCTCACTTTCTGGTGACATTGTAAATAAGACGTGGGCAACATTATCTCCCGTAAATGTAAACAATCTTGTTTTTCTTAGCGATTGGCTGAACAAGAAGCAGGACTGAGTGGACTTGTAGGCTCTAAAGTTTTACATTGTTTTGTTTTTGAGTGAAGTTATGTGACCAAAAAAAGATCTTCATTTCTAAGTTGCACTTTCTCGATAAAGAGATTGCACTACAGGACTTGTATGATGTGAATTGAAAAAAATACTTTTTCTTTTGTTTATAATTTTACATTATAATAATATAAAGTGAGTAGAGAACACTTTGTGTTCTGTGTTGTAACTGAAATCACTATATTTGAAAATGCAGAAAAACATCTAAAATATTTAACAAGTTTCAATTGGTATTCTATTGATTAACAGCACGATTAAAGTGTTATTAATTGTGATTAGTTTTTTTAATCACAATTATTTTTTGAGTTAATCGTGTGAGTTAACTGTGAGTAATCGACAGCCCTAAATTAAATGTATCAGAAACCATTTAAACTGTGAAAAGCAGAAGGAATTAGAAGGTCAGGGATTGTCTGCCTTCCTGGATAAGATTGAACCCCTCACTGCTATATATTTGTACCATGCCCTAAAGGTTATACGATCTGGGTTGTTTTTGATAAGTGTGGCGAGCAAATTCAAAAGCTGAGGCAGGACTTAGCAAACGTAGACCATCCCTGGCAGGTGTATGTGCAACCTGTTCTAAAAACCTCCAGTGATGGGGATTCCACACCCTCCCTAGGTAACCAGTTCCAGAGTTTAACTATCCTAAGAGTTAGAAAGATTTTTCCTAATACACCTCTACTTCGATATAACGCTGTCCTCGGGAGCCAAAAAAATCTTACCATGTTATAGGTGAAACCGTGTTATATTGAACTTGATTTGCTCCCCCGGAGTGCACAGCCCCGCCCCCCCAGAGCGCTGCTTTACCGCGTTATATCCGAATCCGTGATATATCGGGTGGTGTTATAATGGGGTAGAGGTGTACCTAACCTAAATCTCCCTTGTGTCAAATTTAGCTGATTACTTCTTGTCCTACTCTTGATAGAAAGAAAGAAGGAAAGAAAAAGAAGAGTTCGTTAATTCTGCGTGGCCGAATCCATACAGAAGTTACAGCAGTTTAACTACAACTGGTTTTTAAAACAGTTTAACTAAAGCTGCATTTTTAAACTGATTTAGTTAGCCCCCTGGGTGAGCATTTGTATCAATTTAAACCTGGAATGATCAATTTAGTTTGTGCCTGTAAATTTACCAGTGTAAGCTCAGGGCTAACATTACATCATGGTCTAGAGGACTGGTGATTTAACTCATTAAGCACCTTTTTCTCCATGGATCTTAAAAGCACAGAGTTAATATTAAGACATTTCAGTTCAGTATCATCTATCTATCTATCTAATCTGTCCTACATACTGACATATCCCCCACCACCATATTAGTTGAGGGTCAGATGTTAATACTCTACTGATGTTCAGAAATGCCTTACTACACCCGTTCTTCCATTGATTTCAAAGGGATAACTCTCAGACTGCACTCCTATACAGTGTGAATAGCATACTGGGTATCTAGAGAACCTGTCTACAGGAAGTTATTTTGGGGTGGATATCTGTCCCCATATTCTATGTTGGGGTATAGCGCCTGATGTTTTGGGGAATGGGACTGTGTGGAGGTGTGGTATTGGCTGCCTGAAATACAATATGACCCCGAGGCACAGAATTGCCATCTGAAGCTGGGTAAGGCAAACCCAACATTGAGCTGGGCAAAATCAATCTAGACATATGACTCAGATCACATGGCATTGGCTTGTTGCAAGTACATGTGTGACAGGGTGGATTAGCTCATTCTAGGCTCTGGATGCCATTCTGCCTGAGTTTCCCCTTCTTCACCGAGTGTGAGGTAGATTCGGGAGCTTTCTGAAACGCTGTTGCTCTGTTGTAGAATGTCGAAGAAGCACGCTGAGCTGCTTCAGTTATAATGATATAGAAAGGATTAATAAATAGAGCTGGTCAAAAAAAAATCCACTAAACCTGCTTTGTGACGGAAAGCTGGGTTTTTGACTAAATGAAAATTTTCATGGAAACTGTCTGGTTTTGACTTTTTCCTCAAGAAATCTGAAAATCAAAACATTTTTCATTTTCTCTGGGGGGCGGGATTTCCCCCCCACTAGCTCTAGCATTTGTTCCCTACAATCATTGATGGAGCTGTTTAAGCACTTTTGTTTTAGCCCACAACATACATCATATAAATTTACACAGAATATATCATTACATTGAAAAGAGCTTGTTTCTGCATCAAAATGCAGAAGGCCTGTCCAGTTATCATCAAAAATATTTAGAAGGTACCTGTCAAAATGCCATATAACTACCACACCAGCATGTATGTAGCGAGTAGTCAACTATAGTGTTGGGCCTGTTTCTCATTTACACTCAGGTCACTTGAAACCATTCTGGGGGTGTTAAGGGGCATTAAAATAGGAGAAGGTTCTGTTTATGTATAAAGGGGCCTCACTATAAATGCGAATCAGGATTCTTATGCATTGGCCTCACTTCTCAGATTCTCATATCGGTATTTTGCATTGTTCAAGACTAAAATGTGTGTCTATTGGTCTGTTGCTGCTATTCATATCACCTAATAACCAAAAATAATACACTGCATCGTCCAAAGAATATGCCACATTTGCTGACATCAGGAGTCCTAGGTTTGATTCCTGCCTCTTAAACTGATCTCTTGTGTGGTGTTGGGCAAATCACTTCCCCTTCCAGTATCCCAGTTTCCCCACCTTTACATGCCTGTGAGAAGTGCTTTGGAAATTCTGGACTGAAACTGTATTGGTCAGAACAAGTACGTAAGTGATGGATGTGTATTTCTATGTGACAGGCCTACAAAAGGGTTGTGGCACAGAGCTTCACAATGCCTAACTTTCAGATGCCTACAAAATACCTGGAACAACAATTGGATCCACAAAAGCTGAATTAGACACCCAGGCTCCCTACGCAGTGTATGGGGAGAGAAAGACCTAGAATGGTTCTCACTTCTTTTTCTGGACCATTTAATATTTAATTAAAGTGAAAGAACTTCAGTAGGAGACCTGGCTAGACAGAGTGCACCCCACTTCAGGGTATCATCTAGTCCAGTGGCTAAGATACTCTGCTGACACATGGGGAGCCCCTCCTCATCAGTCAGAGGGGGGAATTGAATCAGGATCTCCCAGAGATGGGTGAGTACCCTCACTGCTAGCCTAAAAGTTATTAAAAGGCAGGTCAGCTGCTTCCTGCTCCACTTTGTGTGTAGGTAGCCGTGCTCTGAGAACGCCTACTGGATTAGACCCGAAGCCAAGATATCTTCCCCCAGCTTGAGAATTGTTTTAGAGTTTAGGCATGGAGTAGGTGTCAGGACAACTAGAGTCAGCAGTGCCTGTGTGCAGAGGCTGAAATGTAGGTTCCTTAGGAGCCTATGGGTTGGGCAGAAGCCAAAGAGGAATTTTCTAGATCACATGGTGCTTAAATGTGGAACTTGGGTGCCTAAAATTGGGGTTTGTAACCTAAGTCCTTCTTGCGGTTCTGGGCTTTAGACTCTTAGAACAAAAGAGTTTCTATATTAGGTTAGACCATGGTCCAGCTTGCCCAGTATCCTGTCTCTAAAAGTGGCCCATATCGGAGCTCCAGGGGTAGTGCACAAAACAGGGCAGTTGCAATGATCCACCGCTGTCTTCCACTCACAGCTTCTGGCATCAGAGGTTTAGGGTTGCCCCTTCATGAGGTTACATGCCTGACCATCTTGGCCAATAGCCATTTATGGACCTGTATGCCAGGAGCTTATCCAGTTCTTTTTTGAACCCACTTACATTTCTGGCCATCACAGTATCCCATGACAATGAATTCCAGAGGTATGCTGGGTGGAAAAGTACTTCCTTTGATTTGTATTAAGCCAGATGTCTATTAATTTAATCAGGTGACCCCTGTTTTTTTTTATCATGTGACAGGGTAAATAACACTTCTCCATTCACTTTTCCTACACCACTCATGATTTTAAAGGCCTCTATCATATCCCCCCTTAGTAAGATGAACAACCCCAATCTTTAGTTTTTCCTTCGATGGAAGCCAATCCATACCCTTGATCATCTCCGTGGCCCTTCTCTGAACCTTTTTGAGTTCCATTTTATCCTTTATGAGATAGGCCAGCCAGAACTGGACCCAGTATTCAAGGTGTCTCTTGGCACATATGCACACAGGGCAATACAGAAAAAGGAGATACCCTGGAGGCTTCAATGAGGATTACAGTGGCCTTGATGTTTACCCTGTTTTAACAAGCAACGCAGATTCAATTCTTCCATGATGGCAAGTTTAAACAGCCTTAAGGGAGATCCAAACAGCAGCCAGAGCCAGGATGAGGCTGCTGTCTCCTATAAACCATGTAAGAATCCAGAGCAGCCGGCACTAAGGTTCTGTGTAATATACACAGCAGAGTGCATCCAGCAGGAAAGCAAGAGCAGCTGTAGGAAAATGACGGTGTCTTTGCAGAGAGTGAGAGTGCATGAGACACTGAAGGGCGCAGAGCAATGGTGAAATCCAGGTCCTGATCCTCAGACCCAATCACCACTGATGGAGATGTCCCATTTCATGCAGGGGATTAAAGGTAAATCTGATCATTCCTGGGTGAAATCCTGAGGATTTTAGGGAGAAAAGGCTTTACCATCGGGAAGAAGAGCAGCCTGAAATGTCCCTCTGGTAAACAATATGCTTGTGCATTTGCCACTCTGTATCATTCCTTATTCTCCCCTTGATATGTCTAATATTGCTGAACCCAGACACTACAGAGAGTGGCTGTGAGTAACACAGAACAGAATTTGCCTACAGTTCCCTGCCAACAGACTCACACACATGAGCTGGGTTACAAGATGCAGCTGGGGGTGGAATATGTCCCAGGGTTTGTTGGAGAGTCACTTAGGGGATAAGAGTGACAGGGATCTGTAAAGTCTGCTTGGGGAGTTCCCTTTGTGCACAGGGCAGAGTCTTCTTCCCATCTGCGCTGTTGGTCAGTGTCCCTGCCTAATCACAGGCACTAACATGATACCATCACATTCACGTCCCTCTCTGGGGAAGCTCGTGAGTGTGACCCTCACCACCATCATAGCACGTTTAGGGGTCAGAGTGGGCAAGGAACTCAATATGAGCTCCCTGTGTGATGCTGGGACAGAAAGTGTTAATGGGATCCTGTGCTGTATAAACTGAGAAGTGGTGAGTAGAAGTAGGAAGGTGATGTAACCCATATTAGGCATTTGAGACCAAACGGTATCCAGTCTTTTTCTGTGTCCACATTTTAAAAAGGACATTGAAAAACTGGAGAGGGTACAAGAAAAAGTCATAATAATATGGGGGCGGGGACAGAGAAAATGCCTTACAATGAGAGTGAAGGAACTGAAACGGCATGACTTATCAGATAGAAGATTGAGAGATGACTTGCTTACAGATGATGATCACTTTCATGGAAAGAAAATACCAGGGCTAAAGGGCTCTTTAATCCAGCAGTAAAAGTCAAAACAAGAACCAGAAAAAATCATTTGAGGAATAAGGCAGATATTATGAATGGGGAAGGTGGCTAACCATTGGAACAAAGTGCCGAGGGAAGTTGTGGATTATCAACCTCCTGACATCTTCAAAATTAAGACTGGCAGCCATTCTGGAGGATTTGCTCTCATGCTCCATGGTTACGCTTTCCGTTCTTGAACCATTGTCCACTACCCCGAGCCCACCTCCTTCAAGTGACAAGCCTGTGCTTTCACTTCTCTTGGGTGAGATCTTGAGGTCCAACCATTCTTCTAATCCCCAGTTTACCACCTTTCTAGTTCCAGTTGTGTTACCGCAGCAGTTTTAACTCTAGTCTGTCCCTGTTATAGATTTTCCTCCCTGAGCGTATGACTGAATGAGTTTGTACAGACACAGGATCAGCTTCTTCAGAACAAAGTAGTATTTATTTGCTAAAGGGAACACAGCATTGAAGAAAATGTGTTGAAACAACAAAGACTCCTTGATGCCTCTTTTCCTACATAAACTAAATTCCTCTGTCCATAGCTCATCCTATTCCAGATCCCATTTCTGAGTCTGAGGGATAGTTTTTATCCCTGTACACCCTCTCTCTGTGCCATATGTTGAATCCTTTACTTAGACAGTGTCTTTTGATCTCCCTCTTCCCAGCCTTAGTAAAACAAGTGCACAACTTTTCTGGCAAATGATCGTATTATTGTATATAAGTGTTTGCTGGGAAATTCCTTATCTAAGTTATTGTTTTGCCTTTCCTGTCTGCTTCCCCTAACAACCCATTTTAATCTTAAACACCTAGCAAGCAGTCCATCATAAAATTAACACATAGAACTATGCAGAGCATTGATACAAAATAATGCAGATATTTCCAAGCTTGTTACATATGCTTAACTCAATGCAGAGTAAACTGGAGAAGTGCCATGGGTCATGATATCCAGGACCACAGCCTACATAATTACAGTATTGTCTTCTGGCTATATTTCTAAAATATATGCTTTAGTTCAAAAAGGAATGAATTCACGAAAATGTTAAGGCCTAAAATATACTGTCCCGGCTCACCTTTCCATCTATGCATATATGAAAGAAAGAAGTTTGGGGCAGAAGAGTGATAAATAAACAGTGTAGCTGGCAAGTGGGGAATCTCTATTCCAAAACCTTGCACAAAGTCGGGGGGCGGGGGGGAGAGAAGCAGTGTCTGGCTCTGTGAAAGCTTATAAATCACTCTCTTCTTATGCATATTGAACTTTTCTAGAATCAAATGGCTGGGAATTTACTGTGTTTGATTGCACAGTAAACTTTTTCAATGCTCACGACTTTTTCTCTGTCACTAGATAATCTCATGGAAAACAGAGGAAGAGGCAATCTACATGCATATCATGGAGAAAGGAGAAGGGGAAAATGAAACATATATCACACAATTCATCCTCCTGGGATTTGGGAATCATGCTGAACTGCAGCCCCTTCTCTTCCTGCTGTTTCTAGTGATCTACATTGTGACCATGGCTGGGAACATCCTCATCATTGCACTAGTTGTGACTGATCAGCACCTTCACACCCCCATGTACTTCTTTCTGGGGAACTTGTCCTGCTTGGAGACCAGCTTCACCTCCACCATCCTGCCCAGGGTGTTGGACAGCCTCCTGACTGGGGACAGAAACATTTCTGTTACTGGCTGTATCACTCAATTTTATTTCCTTGGTCTTTATGTGGGAGTTGAATGTTATCTCTTAGCACTTATGTCCTACGACCGGTACTTAGCAATATGCAAACCACTACACTACCCAGGTCTTATGAATGGCAGAATCTGCCAGCAGTTAGCAGCTGTGTCCTGGATGAGTGGATTTATGATAATTACCATAGTTACATGTTTAATGTCACAGTTACATTTCTGTGGCCCCAATGAAATTAACCATTTCCTTTGTGATTTTACCCCAGTGATTAAACTCTCCTGCAGTGACACCAGCCTGATCATACTGGTGACATTTATATTCTCTTCCATATACACCCTGCCCCTGTTTCTATTAACCCTGGCATCCTACATTTGTATCATCTCCACCATCCTGAGAATCCCGTCCACCACTGGGAGGAGAAAGGCATTTTCCACTTGCTCCTCTCACCTCATTGTGGTGACAATCTACTATGGGACTCTAATCATTGTCTATATGTTTCCAGTCACTGACACACTTAGAGACCTCAACAAAGTGTTCTCTCTCTTCTACACAGTCCTGACTCCCCTGGCCAATCCCCTCATCTACAGCCTGAGAAACAAAGAGGTCAAGGCGGCTCTGAGAAAAGTCATCAGCAAATGTATGGAGCTTATAGAAATTGAGAAGTAGTGTTTGATATGACAATGAATGAATCTGGAAGAGCTAGAAAGGGAGTAAGCATTTAGGCTGTCCCTAGCTCATGACAATGGGAGCTTTCTTGGGGAATATGAGGACATGCTAATTTTGGGGATGTCTGCATTCCCATTTTTCAGAGTTGAAGCTTGCTTCTCCCCTAGCTGGAATCTTAACTTTCCTATTCTCCGCATTCAAGTGGAATTCAAGGTTTTACTTTCATGTTTTGTTTGCATCTTTGATCTGAGTTGGGAAAAGTCTAGTTTTTACCTTGCAGTATTCTTGAATACCTACGGGTGGATTTGGATTATTAAAGTATTTAGTCTCTCACCTTGGTATCAGGTGTCCTATAATTTTATATTTGGGTAGATTGCACTGGTCTTCAAAATTTTTGTTTGTTATACATGTTGTCATGAAATGATTAGTGGTGTGTAAGATCCTAAATGCATTCCTGGTTATTGAAATAAAACAATTAATTGACGTGAAATATTTCTGGTGAGACATCTCTTTACCCTAAAGAATACTTTAATGTCAGGTGAAAAAATAATAAATATGTGTGGAGAAACTGCTAATTAATTCTGCATTTCAAAATTGAATTTGGAAAAAGCACCTAAAAGAGTAAAGTTCCCAAGTCCCAGTGATTTTCAAAATTATTTGAATTTGTAAGGGACAGATTTTGAAAGGTTCTAAAGATGCAGATAAGTGTCTAGGTGTATATCTAAATATGCCCAGGCCTTAGACTCCTGGCCCACGTGCACACAGGGCATTCCAAAAACGGAGATTCCCTGGAGGTTTGGGTGGGGATTGCAATGGCCTTGATGTTTATGTTGTTCCAATAAACAAAATAAGATTTAATACCCTCCATGAGGGCTATCGACTAATGATCATTATCAGCAGTCTCAAAGGAGAGACCAATAACAGCCAGGGTGAGTTGCTGTTCCCTGTAGCCCCTGTAAGAATCCAGAGCAGGCAGCACTAAGGTTGGTTGTGATATATCCAAGTGTGTGCATGAAGCGAGAAAGCAAAAGCAGTGCAGCCCAGCTGCAAACTATAGGTGTCTTCCAGAGTGAATGGGATTGTCTGAGACACTGAGGAGAGCAGAGTGATGGTGGAATATGGATCCCGATCCCAACACCTAGCCACCATCAATGGAGAAGTCGCCACTTCATGGTGAGGATTAATGGTAAATCGACCAATCCTGGGTCACATACTAGGGAACTTAGGGAGAAACACCTGCTAGATTGGGAAGCAGAACAGGCTGAACTGCCTCTCTAGTACACAGTTTCCTTGTGCATTTACAGCAATGTATCATTCTGCATTCTCCCCTTGCTATGGCTCATCACTGCTCCGAATATCATTGAACTGAGACCCCCCGGAGAGTGGCTGTGATTTCTGCAGCACAGAATCCTCCCACAGTTCCACCCCAGCAAATTCAAACATAAGATCTGGTTTATGTTGTAGGTTGGGGATGGAAAGTGTCCCCGGGTTTGTTAGAGAGTCACTGATGTGATAAGAGTGAGAGGGATCTGGGGAGTTTGTTCGTGGTATTCCCTTTGTGCATTGAGCAGAGTCATCTTCCCATCTGTGCTGTTGGTCAGTGTCACTGCCTAGACCCAGGCACTACTAGCATGATGCCATCACATTTTTGTCCCTCTCTGGGGAAGCTCGTGTGTGTGACCCTCACCACCATCACAGCATGCTTGGGGGTCAGAGTGGACAAGTAACACAACATAAGCTCCAGGTGTGATACTGTGGAGCAAAGGACTAATGCGATCCTATAATGTATAAATAGAGGAGAGATGAATAGGAGTATGGAGGTGATCTGACCTCTATTAGGCATTGGTGAGACTGAATTGCATCCAGTCCTGGTCTATGTGTGCATTTACAAAAGGATGTTGAACAATTGGAGAGGGTTTAAAAGTGCCACAAAAATGTGGGGGAGGGGCAGTGCAGGGAGGTGCTGGAGAAAATCTCTTCCACTGAGAGTAAAGGAGCTCAAACTATTCAACTGATAAGAAAGACTTTAGAGAGGTGACTTGACTTCAGTGGATTCGTAGCTTCCTGGGGAGAACATATCAAATACTAAAAGGCCCTTGAATCCAGCAGAGAATGACAAAACAAGAAAGAGTGGCTGGAAGCTGAAGCCAGACGTATTCAATTTAGAAATAAAGCACACATGACATGACGATTCATAAAGTTTATTCATAAACTAGAATAAAGTGCCAAAGGAGGGGCTGGATTCTCCACCTTCGATGTCTTCAAAATCACGACTGGCTGCATTTCTGCAGGATTTGCATTCACTTTCACTGGGCAGGCTGCTCCTTCTTGGAACTTCCTCCAGTTTCCCCAGCACGGCACTTGGAAGTGAGAAGCCCATGCTTCCCCATCTCTTGGGTGGGATCCTGAGATCCAAGCATTCTCTGGATCTCCAGATTACTACCCCTTTGGTGCCAGCTGTGTTACCCCAGCAGTTCTAACTGGAGTTTGGTCTTGCTATAGATTTCCCTCCCTCAGCCGGTGACAGAATGAGCTTGCAGGTCAAGTCCTGCACAGATACAAAATTTGTATCCGCATCTCATCTACAAAAATGACCCACGGATACAAAGCAGATGTCGGCAGATTTGCACAGTTTTAGATATAAAATTTGGATCTGCTTCCATCCATGATCCGCAAAGCTGGTCCTCAGATATCCGCATTCACATCTGCAGGTGCAGATATCTGTGAATATAAAGCAGATATCCACAGATATGCAGTGCTGTATTTGCAGGACATAGGAAGAGCTTCTTCAAACAACAAAGAGTCCTAAATGTCTCTTGTTTTACCTGC